GCAAGCACTCGAGCATCAAGCGATTCGTTCTTACATCTTCGGCTTTTGCCGCCGTCCTTCCCCAGCCTAACAAGGAGATGCACATTGACGAAAGTACGTGTCTGAAAGAATGGAAATCTGTCTTCCCTTGATGCTGACTGATACCTCTAGGTACTTGGAACGACTTTGCCATCAAGGCAGCGTGGGACCCGAACACGCCAAAGGAGATGAAGCCTGGCGCGATTTACTCTGCCTCCAAAGCTGAGGGCGAGAGAGCTGCGTGGAAGTGGATTGAAGAGAACAAGCCCGGATACTCGTTCAACACCATTCTACCCAACTTCAACGTAAGTGTGACGTTCGTCCACACTGCTCTGATGACGCTGACTTCGTTCTTAGACCGGAGAAATCCTCCACCCCAACATCGGTGGCTCAACCATGGGATTCGCGCGGGATTTGCTCAAGGGACAAGACGAAATATTCAACGGCTTTATGCCCCGTAAGTCTCCCCTGACTTCAAGTAGTCATATATATATATATATATACACATGGACGCCGGACTAACAACTTCCACAGAGTGGTACGTCGACGTAGCTGATGTCGCGCGGCTTCACGCCATCGCCCTGCTCGCCGAGCCCGTCAAGTCCCAAAGAATCTGGGCCTCCGCACACCCTGTCAACGCATCCGACTTCATCGACGTCCTCCGCGAGCTGAGACCGGATAACAAGCTGATTCCGGAGAAGCAGGCGAATGAGGGACGTGATATTAGCGAGCTTCCTCCGGCGGCCAAGGCTGAGAAGTTGTTGCGGGAGTACTTTGGACAGGGCTGGACCCCGCTTAAAGAGAGTTTGGCTGCGGGTATTCGTGACTTGTAGATCTGTAGACTTATAGGACGATGATCAATCTATACCTGATGTAGCCCTTACTCGGGTTCAGCAATGAGGATTAGGTTAAATATGGAGTTGGAAGATTTTGATAGACCGACTAGAAGCTATCATATCTACAAGAATCGAATGAATACTTACGAGACACATATAGCTCCACCTTTCCAGGATGGAGGAATCCAAGTCCAAGAATCGGGTTAGAATACTCAAAAGTTGAACGTTTCAAGTCGAAAAGGACTCGAGGAGTGCATTACGTGAACCCACGCTAAAACCTTGAAGTCGGAAATTACGAAATCTTGGAGATTCCAAATAAGATGAACAAAAACCAGTAAAGTACAATGAATTTTTTTTTTTTTTTCAAATTCTGGTTACTGAACAAAAGCA